GGCGTCGCGCGAGGCGTCGCGGGCCCGCCTCAGCACGGCCAGCACCTGCCCGACGCAGGCGTCCACGTCGGGGCCGGAGGGCAGGGCGGCGGCGGCGGCGTTGGTGTCGTCTTCCCTGTCATCGTCTTCGTCGTTGTCGTCGTCGTCGCCGTCTGGGATCGAGTCTTCCAGAGTCGAATAGACCCAGACCTGCGTCTCGGGCGCCTTGAAGACGTCGACGTACGCGGCGGCAAAGTGGTGGCGGCCCATCCCGCCGCTGCCGCTTGTGGCAACGAGGATGTGCGACGTCGGGCTGGGATGGGCCCGCGCGAACCGGAGCCGCCGCAGCAGGGAGAGCGACTTGGGGAGGTGGGCCTGGAGCAACGAGATGAGGGAATCGGGCGCGGTAGAGTGGTGGTCCTCGATGAGCACCCCTGGCTGGTCACTTTGGGACGGCATGGTGTGCGGGATATTTTGCATTCGCGCACGAGCTCTGCTGTGTTTAGTCAGTGCCACCACAACTGCTGGTTGTATTGATCGTGTCCGGCGTTGGTAAAACGGTGGAGGTTGTATCGTCGAGCTGAGCCCCTATTTCAAGTTCGTAAGTAGAATGTGAAGGTAGGTTGGTACCTGTGACTCACATCGAGGGCCGTAAACTACTACCCCTGATCGCACATGACAAAATGGCACCCTGCCCATGACTGGCGCCCGAAAATACGTATCCATCACACCCGTCTTTCATCTCCTCACGCAGTACTCGGCGAGCATCCTCAAAGACACTACTACTCTCATGGAATTCTTATTACAACGGACACTAGCCGTCGCAATCCCGGTCGAGCTACATATTGGTACCGAGGCTCCCAGAAGCAGTGGCTTGGTCATCCTCCCTTGATAACAGCACATTAACTTCTTATCACTGGCCAACCCAGCTGTTGATAAGCCCACTGACACGACGTCGGCCTCCCAATCCGATGGCGGCTTATCTATGTCATGTCGATAGAGAGACACATGCCCACCAAGAAAAAAACAGCATTGCGTTCGACAAAAAACGCAGGAACCAGATTTTTACTTCTTTCCCAGGAGCCACTGCTTTCCCTTGGAGGCCAGGCTCTCCTTCTCCTTCTTGGCGTCCGCCGGGTCCTGCGGCGCCGCGGCATCGGCGGCGCTCTTCGTCCGGGAGAGCTCCTTGCCGTCCCCGCCCTCGGGCTGATCGGCTTTTGGCTTGACGACGTTGCCGTCGCCGCCGCGGCCGATATGGGTAGCACCCGTGTTTTCCTGGAGGCTGACACTGTTGCGGGGGGTTTGTGGTTAGCGGCCTATAGGCACCGTCGCTTCGTCGTTTCCACCAACCCCCCTTCCACTCCTGTCCTTCTTATTCCCGTTTCCTTGTTTCCTATATTCGAGCTCCTTTGTTTCCGACGACACTCACAGCCCCGACATTGAATGACCACGCAGACGAGCACACATATTGCGGCGCACTTACGGCTCGACGTCCTGAAGAGCGCGGGTCTCGGCCGGGTCGGTGTTCTTGGCCATGTTGCCAGTGCCGCCGCGGCCAGTGGTGACAACCGACGTCTTCAAGGTCGGGGTCTCGAGGTCCTTGGGCTCGATGGCAGGCGACTTGGCCTTGTCCACTATGTTGCCCGCGCCGCCGCGGCCCGAGGACGTGAGGTCGCCCATGATGACGATGAGGGGGAAGGAAGGGGACTGCGATGACGTCGGCTCGGCGGGCCTCAAAAGACAGAGAAAAACGCCAGAAAAAAATCTGGAGGAACGGCTCCCCGACTGCGCGCTGCTGGAGCAAAAGGCGGGGGGAGAGGCAAAAGATGGGCTCTGGCGGGTCTCGGCTGCAGATGACAGAGGATGGGACGGAGACTGTTTAGATGGGGCGAAGGCCAAAAAAAAAAGAAGGGTTCCGGGACGCTTCTCGTTCGGAGCGTCTTGCTATTCTGAGGGCGGGCTGCGAAACGGAGACGTCAATGGCATGCGGCGGTCTCTTGCTGCTGCTGGGTGGTACAACTCAAAACAAGATGGTCGCCCAGGAGAGATGCCATCAAATCGTGCCGGTCACATGAGCGTGAGACGAGGGCCGGGCGCGGCGGCACGCAACCTCAACTTGCCTTCCCAGCTGCTACGGGCTAGATCGTGCCTGAATCATGGTTGCGCCTGCGCCCATTCAATGTCTCCCAGCGCACGGGCACCCGAGAATCCAAACGAACAATATGTGCGTCACCCCAATTGACTCGAGCCCTGAACCAAAACGGCGGTTTTGTGCATGGCATCATGACCCCGACACCGTCCGCCATCGAACTGCTGCAATTCGAGTACGACCGGGATAAAAGATAGCCGCCGAGAAGGCTCGGTCAGCGCGTTATCGTCACATCATAGCCGACACATCAGCAGTGTTTGAGCGGCTTGATACCTGCTGGGTCGTCCATGGAGACGTGTATGCGCCTCCCTACCTACCTGCCTAGGTACGTGTGCAGGTAGGTGTAGGTACTTGCATACAATGTCCGGGACGCATCTCGACTGGGGCACCCTGATCTGTTGGACACATTATGCCTCTCCTCCATCAGATGATGGAACCCGTTTCTGGTACATACCCGACAAGGCGCACGCTGCTGGCGGCCCTGAGCTTCCTCGCGAACAGCCCGTTGGACGCACGCATGCAACATGGCGGGTGGGGCACCCAACCACCAACCCGGGAAATGCCCTCCCATCTCCGCGCATTTTTCCCACCACCACCCCCTCCTCGGCGGCCGTCCCCACCCACCACACACACACACACACACGCGCAGCACATCGCCCTAGGGAATCCGGAGCTTTTGATCGCCAGCATCCTGCGGCACCTGTCGATCCCGTCCCCCGCCGGGGGGTGGGTGCCACTGTGCTCGGCAGAATTTCCAGCTTCACTGTCCGGGGTGTGTGTGTGTCGTCGCTTTGTCCACCTCTCCTTCCTTTCCCCTCGTCCCGTCTCTCGGATAATTCCGAGACTTTACCTCGCTCTCTTTTCCCTAGACATGGTCTCGAAGCGTGTTCTTCGGGAAGTTCTTTTTTTTTTCTTTTCTTTTTTGGGCTTGACCCTCCCCCGTCCTCTCTTCCGTAACCAAGTTTCTCAGTTTAGCCAGGTCGGGATGATTGGTCGTGCAATGCTCCCTCACATAACATCGACAAGACTAGTACAACATACATACCTACCTACCTACATAGGTACATATCTTCGAGGGAAGCACAGGGTCCGGGGTCTGCGACCAATGCCTTGTCGATCTGGCTTGCCGGGCCACGGACGTCAGGAACCACGACATCGCTAAAAACTCTCCGATCGGCCGCCAGCTCCAGCACACACGCCTGTCCCAGCGAAATGGGCCCGCCAACCCCCTTGGCGGCTTGCTTGCAGGCTAACCTGCATGCGCAGATAACCCCTGGTCAATGGGAGTGATGACGGGATGAATCCCAAAAAGGCTCCATTCGGATCAACAGAAAAATATACAGAGAAAACAATCCAACACAGCCAGCCAGTACATTTGCGTAACAGCGCACATTCAGCTCTCATACACACAGACCTCCTGCGAGTCTAGATATCATCACAGGCGATGCCGCGTCGTCGTACATACGGGGTATTTATTATATGGTGTACCAATCCAAAAGGAGGGTATCTTGGTAGCCAAATGCGCCTTCTAGATATATTTACACGTAACCCATGGCTGTCGTGACCTCGTTGGCTCGCGGCGGAGCAGCTACCATCCGCTGGGCGTGTCCTCATTTTCCCCTCTCGAATCTACATTCGGGATCTCCAAATCCACGCTTGATCTCCGATACCTCTCCGTGAGGTGACTGATCCTGTCCATGCAGAGTGTGCGTCGACCTCTCTGTACCGCCCTGGGTTCTGTAAAGCCCCCAGTGGCATCGGCACTTCGCGTCGTATTTCCGTATGTGGGGGCGCCGCCGGCAGCAAGCACCCCCATGTCAGCGTGAGGTTCGTCTCGTAGCTTTTGGATGACTAGTCATCGTCGTCGTCTCCACCGTCGTTGCCCTTGCCCCCTTCTTTCCGGATCGGTATCTTTATGCCTTGGTTGGCAAAGCACTTGCTGAGGGGCGTGCTCTCACAAACGCCAGGGAACTTCTTGGCAGAGTACACCTGGAACGCGTCGCTAAAGCATGATGCCAAGATGGGTGCCTTGCCTGTGTTGACGACCTGGCTCGACGAACCCCCGTTGGACGATCTCGGAGGTACCCCGACATTCACGAAAGAAAAACGTAGCCTGAGTATTGGTAGAGCGGCGATTAGTTGAGCGTGCAGAGCAACTCAGTGTGGGCACACGAGTGGGAGAGCTCGGGAGCCGGGGAGCTGAGGAGCCCAGAGTTGAAAGGAGCACCCTCGGTGCTTTGCGTGCCAGCATAGGTAGGTTCTTACCTGAATGTGCCCTCGGTCCTGACACTGAGATCCTGCAGGACAAACCAAATCCCGATTTTGTCCTGCGGGTCCTGGAGACGAAAGGCGCTGGCGGAAAGGCTCCCAATAAGGTTTCTGGTAAACATCCCTTGGGGCTGGTGGCTGGCGGTCATCCTGTGGTGCTGCGGCATGGGCATCTCGGGTGTGCCGTTGAACATGCGTGGTAGGCCATACGGGGTCATGGCCTGGGAGGCCATCCCGCCGTGCACATCTGCTTGGCCGGGGTAATACTGCGCTGTCTGACCGGCGAAGCCGTTGCCGACCATACCATAAGGGTTCGCAACTGGGCGCCAGATAACCCGGGTCAGTTAGACAGCAGAGTAAAGTGGCTGCATGGGTGGGTAGCACCTGTGCCGCCACACGCAAAAAAAGGGGACTCACCAGACGGCATGGCCTGTGGGGTATAACCGCCCTGGGCGTAGGGGGTCACGCTCGGAGGATAGCCGGGGGCGCCGGGGTACTGGGGTATGTCGCGATTCGAGGGCAAAAAGGGCGAGAAGGCGGGCGTGGCCTCGTCGATATTCGCAAACGATGCTGGGGTGGTCGACGAGATAGAGGGGGTGGCCGACGTGTGGCGGACGAGATTCACCTCCTTCAAGCCATCCTCAGACCAGAGGTCCACGTTGAGGACATACATGGCATGATCGATTTCACTGGAGAGCAAAGGGCACGTCAGCAGAACCCAGTCGCCGGAGCCGCGCGCACAGGGGAGGCTTGGCTCCTTGCTCATTGTTGCGGCATGACGTACTTGCAGTCTATCTCCTTGCCCGTCTTCTTGTCGGTGATGACTAGACGGACGCAAGGTGGCGGGGTGATTGGTCTTCGGTCCTGTGATGGGCCAACCGGGGCGGGCGCATTAGCATCGGGGTGGGCGTTCTATCTTTTCTTTTTTTTTTGTCTCTCTTTTCTCTCCCCTGCTCCTTCCCGCATCCAATAGTTGGCCTCTCTTCTTTCTTTCTTCCTTTCTTTTTCTTCTTCTTTGCTTTGTTCTACTCGTTCAGGTCCCGTTTCCTGCTCCCTCCCAGTCCACCGACGCTCGGTGGAGGGTGCACCCACACAATAGACCACGAGGTAGGCAGGTAGAGAGATTGGAGGAAGACGAGGCAGCGGAGGGGGGAGAAGAGAGATAGAGAAGGCCCCTTACCTTATCGCCAAAGCCGCACATGCGGGCGCGTTGGGGCTGCTGGGCGACGTATAACCGGTAGGTCCATCCGTTCTGCTCTCCGACGAGCGGCTTGAGCGGCTCGGGCTGGGCCTGAGGCGCGCCAGCGGTCTGGACCGCGTGCATCTCGGGGGCGGCGGCGGCGGAGGCGGCGGCGGTGGTGGCGGGCCTGTTGGAATTGGATGCGCCGCCAGATGGTTGGTGAGACATTGGGGGATAGTAATAATTCTGCGGGGGGTAGGCTGGATTCATTTTGGGCAAAGGGGACTGGATGCGAGTGGGGAAAATCGGAGCTGGGCACGGCCAGTTGAGGCCTGGCGTCCGATTGAGTGATTCTGCGTCCTCCTGCTGCGCGCTGGATGGGGCCTGACGGGCTGGCGGGCTGGCGGCTGCAGTGGCGTGGGCCGGCAGGCAGGGCAGGGCAGGGCGAGGCAAGGGAAGGGGGAAGGTGGTAGGTAAGGTATGTAGCAGGTCAGGAGTCAAGCAAGGTCTGTCATGGAATGTCCACGGTCAGCCAGGCAGGGTTGGGAGGGGGTATCTGCAAAATGCTCAGGTCCTCTCGTTCGTGGTTGTGAGAGAACGGGACGCGGGCCAGGCTGAGGGGACAGGATGGAGGCTATGTATAAAATGGCAGGCCGACCCAGTGCTGGGTATCTCGAAGGTTTGCTGGGCGTCCATGGACGAGGGACAAGATTTGTCTGGCAGCAGGCGAGCATCCGTTCTCTGGCACTTAAAGCTGGAGTCTTTTGCGGTAGAGGTGGGTTGAGGCACACACCGGACCCACCGCCAGCATGAAGGCGCGAAGGTCCCCTGACAGAAGATCCCTGTGCTAATGGATTAGTATTATTGATGGCTGCCTGCCTGCTAAGGTCGCGCCTGCTCCATCAAAATGCCATTCCGCCCTGCGCTTGCACTTGCGCTGGCGCTGACTGCACTGCACTGACGGCCTCATGCACTCAGTGCTCGCTAATGTTGCTTGCGCGCCTGTGGCAGCGTCTGATCAATTGGCCACATGAGCTTGGTGCGAATTAGGATGGCTGACTTCGTGTTTACCATCAACAGGTGGTCGCTCTGGTCTGCCTCTTCGTGGCCCGTCGCGACTTTTGCCCCGTGGGAACTCGAGTTGGTCTGGCAAACTCCACGCGAGGTTTCCAAGCTGAGTTCGGACGTTAACTGCAGCTGGCATCGTTGGGGATTGATATGCCTGATGGTCGACTGGGCCACTCCACCACCGCCATTTCGGCTGTCGTTTTGCTCTCGGTTTCGAAGAAGAACAGGGGGAAAAAAATATCCATCCATCCCCTCTGAGCCCATTATAAAACCCTCTTGGTACAACAGCAGCAGCAGGTTGTCCCGGGTCAGCGGTGATTTCTATCACCGTCTGCCCAGTCCCGGCCAGTCATGACCGAACAATAGATGAATGGCCGCCGTCAGCAAACCCCCCACAGCCCAGGCCCGGTAACAACTCACCAACATGACATGGCATCCAGCAAGGCTCGGCCAGGCCTGCTGCGGCTAGGGGGCGCGAGGGCGGCGCCGTAAACGGTCCGGTAGGGATGCATCATGATTGCCAGCCAGCCATTTGAGGGAACAGAGCCCGTCATGTCGCCTCGATTTGGTTCGTGAATCCAGCCATGCCCGTGGATGGTACGGTGGGGACCCGTCAAAGCAAGAAAATGCCTGGTCGCCAGATCTTAGCGAGCATCCCTTTATTGCGGTGTGCATCTAACATGGCGATATGTGCAACCCCAGATCCTCAACTGGATGTCAGCTGGCGAGGCATATGTCATGAAGTCGTGCAGAAATAGCGGCTACTCCTGGCTCGTACCACGTCTCTGTTTCCATGTAGATTAATTCGGTCTGGCGTTTTTTTTCTTCTTCCCACCCCTTCTCCTTCTCACCCAGCAAATACAACACGGCGGCGAGGGTGGTCTCACCCACGTCAGAGCCTCTAGCGCGTACGCGAGGCCAAATTTTCTTTTTTGGGTCGACCGTTTTCCTGCGTAGTTGGTTGAAACGGGCCACATGGACCGCGAGCCGGCTCAGGGTCGTACCGCGTTCTGGGCCTCGCTGAATGACTTGGCCGCACCGATCTGCCCAGGTACCAGATACGATGCATGTGAGGGGCGGGTAGTCAAGAGCAAGAAAAAAGCATGAGTTTCTCCCATGAGAGCGGCTCGATCGATCGCTACGGCAGCGGCGACGACGACGATCAGTGGCCGAGCACACCCGAGACGCGAGCTCGATGCAAGGGGCTCGCCGAGGGAGAAGTCGCTGGACTGCGGCAAAGTGTTTCTCAGTCTGACCAGACCGGGGCTCAGCAGAGATGCCGCTGCCCGGCCGTCGGGTTCCGACCCCAAGAGAGACCCCCTGGGACTGGAATCCATATTTCAAATTCCGTCCCAACCCCGGACAAGACCGCCCCGGCGCGCCGGTACCACTGCGCGTGCTTGGTCGGGAGTGCGGAAAGAGAAACTATAAAAACAAAAGTGAAGAAATAAAGGCAGGGAAGGCGAGGGCGAGTTCGTACAGGGTTGGGATGACTTTGGGGGAGGCCAAACCTGCCCCGTGGCGTGCGCCCGTATTCCCGGCCACGCTCCCGCGCGAGGCAAGACAGGCACTCCCGTCAGGACAAAGCGGTTGGTTCCATGTAGATGTCCTTTCCAGATGCCCGGGTCGCACACCTCATCATCCGCAATCTGTGCCATCGTACTGTGCAACATAGTGCAACCCCAGCCCCTGACCCCCCAGCCCCAGGGTCATGGGTGATGGGCTGATACGTGCGAGCTGCGCCCGCGTCGCTGTAAATTCCCGAAGTCGCAGGGTTCGCTTTGGTCCCTCTACCTCTTTTTTTTTTTTTTTGTGTGGTGTGCGCGTGCGACAGACAAGGTTGGGCGCATGGCCGCCTAGCCGCAGTGGGTGTTTGTTCATTGGGCTGATGGTTTCAGTCTGCATCGTCCCGTTGCCGAGTCGGTCGAGTGAGCTGCCTTGTTGAGCAGCTCTCTTTGCTTCTTCCCCACCCACCTCTCCCCGTTTCGTGCTAGACCTTTCCTTTCGGGTGGGCGGCAAAAGGCCATGGCGCTCCGAACGGGGAAAAAACAGCACGGGAAAGGACGAGGATGGTGACGGAGAAAAAGAAACAAGCCGAGTCCGCAGGCATCCTCCGCATTGGTTGCAACGTCGTAATTTGACAGCGTGGCATAAAAAAAAGAAGAAAAAAAGGAAAGGAACAAAAAAAAAAGCCGTGGAGGCTGCAACATCAGACGGGGCGATGCGGGGCCAAGAAGAAACAGGGTCGCAGCCGGCAGCTCATCGGGGATTGACTTGCCAGGAGGTTAAGTTCCCCGTTAAACCCTGCTCCCCGTCCCCAGACAGGCAGGGGGTGAGCTCCGAGCGTCTTGTTCTGACGGAGCCTCGCGAGCTTTGATGTTTTCGGATATGGTGTCACCGTCCATGGTGTGCAAATTCCAGGTTGGCTTTGTACCTTGGCGGCACCCATGGATTGGGGGAGGGAAAATGGGCAGACAGTGGGAGAGAAAGCAAGAAAAAACGAGATAAGCATCATCATGCAGCTCCTGCAGACCGTGAGGGCGATGCAGTCGGGTTCGTCGCATCGGCATGGCCCCTGGGGGTAAAGAAAGAAGCACAGATGCGGCATCCAGGTCGCAGCTTAGCGCCCGCCAGTCGTCTCCTTGCCTTTCTGACGGGGCCTCTGGCCATCGGTACCGCGCGAGGGCGACACGGCGCATAAATCCGCATGAGCTTTTATGAAAATGGAGCTGGAAACCTTGTCAGGATCGCCATACTGAACCGAGCCGGGAGCCGGTTCATGCAACAGCAACCAGGGGGTGGGTGTGGGAGGATCCGAGCAGGAACAGACAGCCCAGGTTAGGCAAGGACCTCGTGTGTGTACTAGTACCTGTGTGTTGTGTGTGCGCGCATCACAATCGGAATAGCATTTCCATGACCTCGAAGCGCCCACAGCCCACATCCCATCAATAAGGGCGCACGGGCATTCAAGATCACCATCAATGCAAACCTTCCCCTTGGTCGGTGGGTGCCGGGCGGGAATGACCCCGACTCGACCCCACTCCCTGGCGCAACTCCACGTCACTGACTCCACCCGAACCAAACTACAAGGGGCCCCTCACAGTTCCAGGATCTTGGGTGGGAGCCAGAACACTGCAAGACGGGAAACGAACGGGCTTGGAAATGGCACTAATTTGCAGGTGTAATTAGTAGGTACGTAAAGTTAGATAGGTACCTGTGCTACTACCAGTCAAACTTCTCCCCCACCATCTCCTCGCTCAGCGCCCACAGCCTCCTCGCCGCCTCGCCGTCGAGCGCGTACGCCTCGGCCCGCCCGAGCTGGCAGTCGTCGATGAAGGCACCGTTGCGCGCCTCGAGCTCGGGGTCGAGCGCCGCCGCCACGATGGGGCTTGTCCCCTGCGCCAGCGTCTTGGGTGGGTCGAGCGTGAAGACGCCCGGCCAGTTGTTGCACTCGGCCACGGCCTTCACGACCTCGAACTCGGCCACGTCCAGGTGCGCCGACAGGGCCGTGTCGAAGATGCCGCCCGGGTGGACCGAGAAGGCGAAGATGCCCCTAGTGCCGCCCAGCCGCTCCGCCAGCGCCACGCTGAAGAGCACGTTGGCCGTCTTGCTTTGCCCGTAGGCCGTCCACTTCTCGTACGCCTTCCCGCCCGAGAAGCCCGGGTCGTCGAAGCGGAAGTTGGAGATGCGGTGCCCGTTGCTCGACAGGTTGACGACGCGCGCGCCGGGCCCCGCCGCCAGCACCTTTGGCAGGATCAGGTTTGTGAGCAGGAAATGGCCCAGGTGGTTGGACGAGAGCGTCAGCTCGCGGCCCAGCTTGTCCGTGCGGTACGGGATGGCCATGACGCCCGCGTTGTTGATGACCACGTCGATGGCGCCGATGTCCGCGTCCTTGTTGATGGCGTCCGCCGCCGCCCGGACCGAGTCCAGGTCCGAGAGCTCGCACGCCACAAAGGTGGCCTTGACCCCCGGCGCCTCCCGCGCGAGCTCCGCGAGCACCGGCTCCGTCTTGGCCCGCGTCCGGCTGACGAGGATGACGTGCGCCGGCCCCTGCCGGGCCAGCGTGAGGACCGTGTTGGCCCCCAGCCCGCCCGCCGTCGTGCCCGTGACGAGAAAGGTGCGGCCCTTGATGCGGTCCGCGAAGGCCTTGGCCACCTCGTCGCAGTCTGTGCTGAACCCGAATGGGGACGGCATATTTTCTTGCTTGTGTGTGTGCGTGTGTGTGTTTTCTTGTGATTTGTATATGTCGTGAGATGACAGACAATCAGATACCAACAAGAGCCTGGTTCCTGGGGTTGAATGCTCCGGACCAGCCCACCGTAGTCGACGACGGAGGCATCTTTTTATACATCCATCCGTCTCCCAGCATTGGCTGACGTAGATGTAGTAGGGCGCTCCAAAGCACCTTGGGTGGTGAGAGAGATGACGTTGGTTCTATGAGCTGCATGCACTGAGAGGTTCTGAATGCCCACGACCTTTTCGGTGTTAGGGCACAACGGCGATGGAGACTTGTCTTGCATGCTTTAATCGCTATGTGCGATCGGAGTTAACCATGAGCCTTTAATCACCTAATAATTGGTAGCTTAATCTCCGTGCCGAGCTCCGGCCAGGGATGGATTATTCATCCCCGGTGGCACACACCAATCAATACAGTCTGAAGCTGTTCATGCACTATGCTGTCACTGTCGGTTGACTCTGCTGGATGCGTGAAGATGTTCGTCTACATGTCTCTACCTAGGTAACCAAGGAGACACCCATGAAGATACGTTCCCATGCTCGTTTCCCCCTCGACAGTGACGTGAAACAAGGACACAAAAGCAAAGCAGTGACTCAGAAATCCAGGGAGAGTTATTGATAGCACGTGAATGTATTTGAGCATACCATTGGTCTCTAAAATCCCACTACCACTACAGAGGTCGTATTATGCAGATGACAATGAACCAGCCCTCACGGGGCGGGTATATCTTTGCATCATTACCTCGTGCAACAACTCGGAGACGTCAAGCCCCCGCTTATCAGACGGAACAAAAGAAAGCCCCTTCCCGGGGTGGCTGAACTGAAAAAGAGTAAAAGCAAGAAAAAGAGAAAGAAAAATGAAGCAAAGAAATGTTGCTCCCCAGTAGTTGAGGCCAAACGCTCATCAACCCAAAGCCCGAGATTCACCATAATGTCTGGATTCCAAACATAACGCCTTTCGCTTGCCGCCTTCTTGCGTCCTGTACAAATGGTCCCATATTTCCCTGTTGCCTTTTCGCCTCTTGATGTGAGCCGCCCCGTACCTGCTTTGTCCTACAAATCCCCGGCTCCCTCTCTGCGCGGAAAGAAAATCCAGAACACGATCGCTGGGAGCTCCTGGTGATGAGTAGCTCCTGTTCTTGTTTTTTTGTCTTGTTTTCTTGATGTCTCCTCTGATATCCTCAGCGATGCGAGCAAGGTGTTGAATTGGTTGGTCATCGTATGCCGCTCGCCACTGTGGAATCCGGATTCTTGATCACTCCAACTTTCTCAAGAATCAGCAAGTTTGGCAAAGTGCTTGGACCAGATCCAGCCAACTAAATTGGAAGGGTCGTCCTGGTTCTTTGCGAGCCAGAGCTCGCCCTTCTCGGCGATGACATCGAATATCTGAGGGATAGAACTGCGTTAGCATCACGACCAATGGGATAGGGTCCAATATTGGGGTGACGGTGGTGTTCAGGTTGCATACCTCGCCTGGCTGGTAGGTAAGATAGGGATAGCCAGCCTCAGTCTTCGTTTCTTCGATCTTGAACTCAAACAGCGACGCGGCGAGCCACATGACGTTGTAGCCGTTTGCAGCAGGCCGTTCTCTAGAAGACGACCTGGACGCCCTTCCCCGCTCATCGGGGTCATCCGGGGGCAGGGCTGAATGGAAGAGCCCCGAGAAGCGTCGATGTTCCTGGGATTGTATGTTTGAGTTATACGTGGACCCAGAGTCTCGCCTGTTGTGCTGTTGACCCATGTGGCTGGCCGAGTCACCGCTCGGACGTGGCCCAGAGGGTGCATCGTAGCTCCTCCCAGTGCCGGGTCTCCCAGTGCTGCCGGCGTGCGCAGGCGACACCTGGCCCCCGTGGCGGCTGTGGCCGTTGACGTTCAGACCTGCGTACTGGTCCCTGTAGTAGTACTGGTGTGGGGCCGACCCGGTCGCGGTGGGCGATAGTGTGAACTGTCCACTGTTCGTCCTCACAAATTCCGGGGTACTGATGCCCGGCATGGAGTCGCTGGTGCTCGACAGACCCCTGTCGCGGGGCGAGAGCTCTGGGGCTCGCGATGTCGAGCGGGACATGGTGTTGTCTTCCGTGGTCGACTGCGAGGACCTTGGCTTGAGGCTGTGGTTGAGGAGACCGATTGTTCCGATCTGCTCCTCCATATCCCGGAAGTCCCTCTGGAACGATTGGACAACCTCGGCCATCTCGGGCACGTGGGCGTCCTCGAGCACGACCTTGACCTTTTCCTTCCAGATGGAGAACCACTTGACCTGAATGCAGACGAAATTGCCGAGACAGATGTTGCCGATCTTCTCCGTGTACGCGGAAAGCTTGGGCAGCTCCTTCTTCAGCGTCTCGTTCAGGGCCTCGTACTGCTCCACCAGCTCGCCAAGCTGCTTGTCCACCTTCTTGCCCCCTTTCTTGAGCTGTTCTGCCCTCTCGTAGTCAAGCCGGCGTTTGGACCGTTTCTTCATTGCCAGACCAGGATGGTTGTAGCACCTGATGACGAGCTCGAACGGCTCGATGACGTGTTTCCTCACTTGGGCAAGGTGCTGATCAAGGGCCACCTTCTCCATGTCCCTCATAGAGACGTTGAAGCGAGCCCACTTGCTCTCGATTTCCGGGAAAGGCGATGGCTGCAGACGCATGACAAGCTCCATTGCCGAAAGCATCTGGAGGAACTCGCGGACATATTCTGACACCTGTCGCGTGTAGAACTCGACGTCCCTGAGCACGACCTGGAGACGGAGGAAGTCGTCGCCAAATTTTTCATGCAGCGCCTTGTACTCGGTATCCTCCTGGATGCGGCTCGCCGAGGCCTGGAGCTTGTCGACACGCTTACCAAACGCCCTGGCAAAACCCGCCCGAACATCCGACTCTTTGCGCTTGCGGCCAACTATCTGCCCGACCAGCTCAAAGTTCTTCTTGGTCTTGTTGATGTCCAGAATCGCGTTCTCCAGTGAAACCCGAGCTGCCATCAGCGCCTCACGATCGGGGTGATCTTCGGGTGTGTACTGGAGCAGCTGGATGATCAAGTTTGGATACTTGGTGATGCGCTGCATTGGCTTGATCAAGAGGGAGTCCAAATTCCACGCGGCAGTCAGATCCTTGGCTGCCTCGTTGCACTCGCTGAGCCAGACTTGCACCGCATCGTCTTCTTGAATCTGGATCAACCGCTTCGATGCGGGGTCGCTAGTCTTCAGGAAGCTCTCGTGGACCACCCGCATCAGCTCGATGTTCTTCGCGAAGACAGGGCCGATCGAAGTCAGGCGGTCCTTGCCAACGTCCGGCTCAGCTGCTGTTTCTTTGATCTCCTTGATCGAAGCCGAGGTTGTGGAGCCAATGGTCATGGAGTCCGACGCCATAGAATCTTCCCTGCCGCCCTCCTTCATCAACGGCGAGCGCCGGCCTTTGGGGCAATAGACGGCGGATACAGACTCTTTAAGCTCGGCAAGAAATGTGGTGTGGAACCCAATGATCTCGTCCGTGTTTCTGAAGATGAGCTTGATCGTTTTGGAGTCAAGCTTTGGGCAGGCTTCTGCTGTTCCCTTGTATATCTCCTCAATGACGTTCATATCTCGCACAAAGGAGCCCTCGGTGTCGATGAGCTCCTTGATGACATTCTGGCGTTGCACCAGCCGGCTTCGCTCTTTCGAAGAGCCTTGCTTGGAGCTGCTGGCCGAGTCCTTGGCCTCATCGCTGGCGGCGGCGGCCGGATCGACGTCGAGCGTGGGGGCTCCACTGAAGCTATTTCCAGTGCTGTCCATAGAAGCGCCCCCGACCGAATGCGGCGTAAGCAAAGGCTGCGTATAATCCTCGCTCTGCCGTCTCGAAGGGCCGAGGGAGAAGGTGCTCTCGTCATCTTTTGTGCTTTGGAAGTAGCTGCTCGGCCTGGTTTGGTCGTAATAGCCGCTAGAGGGCGGGCGATGGTCCTCATTAATAGAACGATTGTCGGGTGTTGGCACCGGAGGGGGTTCGTGATCTGGCCGCGCAGGGATACGCGCCTTCTTTTGAGGGGTCGCCATATAGTCGACGGAAAAGCCATAGCCGGTGTCGAGTTCAGGGAGCTGGTGCCGGTCCAGCTGCAAAGCGCCCAAGGGATGCCCTTCCGACCTTGCCGAGTCCGTATCGTGGTGCATATCCTCTCCCCGGATATCTTCCGTGATTGACGCCGGCCTCGACTCGGACGCCAACAGTGCAGGGCGCCCCCGCAGAGTCGAATCACGGCTCGTGAAGGCGGCGTGTTTAGACATGCGATCCATGCCTCCATCGGAGCTGTCAAGCGAAAAGTCGGTCCATGCCGAATACTGACTGGTCCTGTTGGCAGGCGAAAGGAGGCCGGGTATCGTCAGGCTTTGTGACGTGTCTGGGGTCCGCTGCGCTTCTACCGACGAGGGCATCAAGTCGTCGGAGAATTCCGAGGACATGAACGTCGAGTCCCTCAGGGCAGAGATATTATCTCTGATGTGAGGGCCAATGTAGAATTCCTCGAGGCTGTCCATCTGCGGCTCGTGACTTGTCGGCCCGTCATTCGTCTTGGGTAGGGGCATGAAGTCCGATTCGCGACTAAGTATGGTAACCGTGGTGTGTTGAACTTGAGGCATATAAGGCCGCGGCTCGTATTCCTGCTCCTGGTCATCGAGGGTCGTCGGCCGCAGATCGCCGGTGGAGACTTGCTTCTCCCTGTTCAGCTGCCCCTCGAAGCTGGCCTCAAAGCTCTCTTGGTGAACATCCTCGTCCTCGTGGTCCAGATGCGGCTGTTCTTGCTCATGAACATCTGTGCTGGGAGCTATCTCTTCGCCTTGTTGTCCCAGCGTCAGGGCATGGAGCGAGATCTTGATAGAGAGCTGGTCGTCGTCAGCCGCGTTATCATCAAAGGGTGAGTGGTAAGTGGCCTTTTCGCGAGCAGGAGAATAGACGGATGCGTCGTTGATGCCTAGACCGTTTCTGGTGATAGCAGCGCCCGCCATCGAGGCAGGCTCCGTCTGTGGCTCATTATCAAACTCGGTGATGACCGACGTAGTCGAAATGGCCGATTGTGGGGGCTGTTCCTGATCGGGCTGGGGAGAGCCAAAACTAGGGAAACTCCCTGGAATTCCGAGGGTTGGGGAATCCGAACTTGGCTTTGTGTGCCCCGCGGCCACGTCACCGATGGGCACTGGTCCAGTGATAATCCTGAGCGGCGGCTCAGAGTCTGGCTGCGCCTGACTGTGCGCCTGAGAAGAACTGCTGTTATCACAATGGCTCGCCTCCGCTAGCCCGAAGGACGCTGGTTCTAGCCTTGGAGAAGCTGCCGGGTCCAATTCACCAGCCGGCACCGTCTCAGTCGGTATTTCTCCCGCAACCGCCACGGCCGCCAATGCTGCTGCTGCTGCTGCCACGGCCGCCGCCTCGGCCTCGGCTTCTGCCTCTGCGGCGGCGGCTTCGGCTTCAGCCTTGACCTTGGCCTCCTGCTCCTTCTTCCGTTTCAGGGATGCGGCGTGCCTCGCCTCTCGAGCCTGGGTCTCCCGGATTGACTTGGTGTACGCGAGTTTGATCGTTTCCCTCCGCTGAGCAAAGTCGATGGGGCCGACGGAGAGTTTTCTCCTCCTGGCTGTGGGGTCATCCTCTTTCGAGGCTGGCTTGCTAGGGCCCGATTTATCGACAGTCTTCAGCCTCGAGCTCGCAGTGGTTGCACTTGCAACCGACTGCCGTGGTCGCGAGCTGCGCAGAGGCGGCGACAACTTGGCGGGTGGAGCCGTGCTGAAAGCTGCCAGGCGCGTACCGGTGTGGCCGGCTGGTGTGGCGATCTTGCTCGGTGCGTGCCTTCGCGAGGCGGCTGGATTGTGGGCGGGAGTCTTGGATGTTGATGTGGTCGGGGTCGTAGATCGTGTCGTCGGGGTCTTGGCGCGCGTGGTTGAAGCGCCACGCTGCCTGGAACTTCTTCCACCCGCAGACAAATTATGGGAGAGAGATGGGGAGTTGGATCGCGTAGATGGGGTGCTGGGGTTGGGGGAGCTGCCGAGCTTCTTCACGGAAATCGGGAGACGGGAGGATGGCGAGGGCGGTTGTGATGGAGGGCCGCTGCGGCGGGTTTGACGCGAGTGGGGAGGGCGACTGACGGCAGACTTGCCCCCCGACGACTCGCTCTGGGCTCTCGCATGCGAGCTCTGTGGTGGTCTGACTTCTTTACTCGAGGGCCGTGACGAGGCAACACCACGGTACCAGTCAGTCGGCGAGGACGGTTCCTCGTCGCCGGCAGGGGACTGATTACTCTCGAGCGGGCTTAGACCGTAGACCTGTGACTCGGACGTTCGCCTTGGTTGAGACGTAGCACGAATTCCAAAGCCAGCGGTGCGGCCTCCATCCTCCTGCGGCAAGATCTCACCAAAGAGAAGGCCTCCAGGGCGGGTGGAGTGAGGCGACGTGGGGACGCTGGGCGACCTCGCAGGTGCCGTGGGCGCGGTCTTTGAACCATGGGCGCCCGTGACAACGGACGGCCTCGGCCTCATGCGGCTAGCAAAAGACTTGGGGTTGCTAGACGTCTGGTCCTCCTCGACAAACTTCTGGCGTCGCGTGGATCTGCTGGATGTACCGCCGGCATCTTTATCGACCGATGATCTGAGGTTGGTGTACGAGGCAGCGGCCTGACCCGTGTTGGAGGCGCCCGACGACCGGCTTTGTGATGTGCCATGCAAGCCAGCAGTCCTGGTGCTGCCCTGGCGCGGGACTGCGGGTTGGGGCGGTGGCGGCGGGGCGGCCTGGTCAAATCGCTTCTTCAGGTCCTTCACGCTGGGCTGCTTCCCGAGGCCGAATCCACCACTACTTGCCGAGGCCGAGCCTGTGGACGGATGCCTCGCGGATCGATCGTCGATGGGGCTCGAGGTGGAACGCAATGCGGGCCGGATCCCACCGTGGCCTGCGGGCGCAGTGGTAGCGTGTGTGAGTTTAGCTGGGGCGGGCGGGTGCCTCGAGGCCGAAGGCTGCGAGTTGGGATGGTCGCGAGGGGCGGCGTGTGACTGTGGCAGGGCGGTAGAAGCCATCGGGACCTGCTGGAACGGGACGGGGGCGACAGCAGGGCTGGTCTGAAGGCCTCGGTAGTCACGATAGAAGTCGTCGGGGTCGGGGACGTTGGCGAAGGGACTGGAGGCTGCGGCGTGGGCGGTGGCGGCATTGGCAGCGACTACCTGCAGGTTGGTGGCGGCATGGGACGCGAAGTTGGCCTGTGCGGCAGCGTCGAGGGCAAAGGGAGCGATGGAGGACTCGTAGGGGTCGTTCGCGTAGGCGTGAGGCTGTTGGTGGTGGCGGTAGTCGTGGTGGTGGTTATGGTGGTTGTGGTTGTGGTTGTGGCGGGGGGGAAGGAGCTGCTGCGCATTCACAGGCACATTTGCATATGTCCGGGGCGACAACGGTGCAGCGGCGCCCAGGCGGTCCTCGTCGTTGGCCTCGTCCATTGCAGGGCACTGCACTCATAGGGTCAGGCAGTGTGTGCCGGCGCGATCAACGGCCCAGCGACGGGACAAAGTCGACTGCCTCGATTACCCTGGCAACAAATTGAACACGGTTTGACTGGCCGACATCAGACGCAATGCTCTCTAGGCGGCGGCTGGCGTAGACCCATCTGGCTGGAAGCCGTGGTTGGGTGTGGTGGATTACGGTGCGGGCTAGGTTGGAGCGCTCGAAGGGGAGGGGTGTGGTGTGGTGCGTCAATGTCAATGTGCGAGAGCTGCTCGTGCGTGTGCTGGTGCTCCCAGGATGGAAGGATGGACGGTTGTTTGCTGCTCAATGTTGCCTGGGAGTACGGGAGCCTTCCTATCCTGGAGCAGTTGGACCAATGCCAACGCGGCCAATCCCCACCCGCAACGGGGGGCCACCCACCCACATTGCAGACTCGCCGGTAAAAACCAGCTGCAGCGCGCGAGTGCACACCAGCACCAGCACAAGCACAAGCACAGCAGCCAAGCAGCTCCAGGCTGTTGTCGCCCAGTGCAAGTGCAGATGGAGGCCAGCCCGCGCCGCACCACCGCCCGCCCGCGTCCAAACCACACCCGAGCGGGCTGCCAGGGGTAGGTTGATGGGTGTCGATGCAGGTGGTGGGATCCCTCCGCGTCTAGGTGCTGTGTGCTTCTGTAAGCTAGGGATTTATCTGATGCTGATGTTACTACACAGGCCTTTTTTAACCTTTGACACTAATTAATGGCACAATCGAAGTTGCGTGCCCTTTTTGCCGATGATTTTTTTCTTTCCTTTTTCTTTTCTTTTCTTTTTCCATCCATTGTTTGTCCCCCCCCTCCATTTGTTTCCACCCCTTTTTTCCCGCCTGCCCAAACAACTCGGGCGACACCAACTCCACTCGAGCTCGGTACGTTGTACGCTACGCACCCACGCGCACCAACCCACCAAGGCCGGGTAGGAAGGCTTCCCGACCTCGAACACATCATTCGTGTCGGTCGTGCTGGCTGGACCTTGTCGCAGAGCTTCAAGGTTCAGAGAGATGCATCTTAGCAATTACGGCGGGGGCAGATCCACCGCCGTCAGTCATCTTCTTGCTCCCGTCCCGCGCTTGTGATGCTCGATACGGCCAGGCTAAGGCATGCTGGGAATGGCAAAAGCAACTCAAAGAAGAAGAAGCAGAGGCGATCGCACTGGGGGATGTGCGAACATGATGTGCTAGTCAACCCACCACCACCTCCCCACTCGTTTTTATTGTTACATGTCAGCTTGGCGTGTGCGCAGTGGTACGAGAAAAAGCCAAAAAGAAATAAAGATGCACCTCGAGACGCAGGGAGCAAGACGCAAGAAGCAAGAAGCAGGGCTGCATCGGCTTTTCTTGTTGCTTCCGGAGGTGCTTTTCCACCCAGACCACTGTATTCCATGTCACTCAATGCGTGCGCAGCGCATGCAGCTCGAATTTCATGTTATCATTTTGGCAATTGAGATGGGTGGGCCGCAAACGCGCCCCAGTCTGTGCACATTGCTCGGTTGTGCCTGGCCAATCCACGCGGCCCGAAACAGCCTAGCGATGGCCACTAAACCAACTTTTCTTTTTCTCCCTTTTCTCCTTCGGCCTCGGCTTGGGCAAGGTCTTGGTCGCAGAATGCAGACAGACAAACAGTGGCAGCGCTAGGTGCTGGCCGTACTTGCTAGGCGCTAGCCAGTGCTAGCCAAATGACGGTGAGGGCGGGAAGAGACGCCGCTGCTTCCTTTGTTTTCTCCTTTCCACCTTTGCAGGGTTGGCCAAGTGGCGACCAAGCCCAAGCGCCCTGCACGCCCACCCGCCAGGCTGGGTCTGTCTGGCAGGCACGCAGGGCATGGTATTTGCTGTGGATGCATTGGCTTGCACGACATTCTGCAATCCGCCGATGGGACATGCATCCACCAATCGAATCGAGACGCGTTCCGCTTGTGCATGACGACGATATCGCGACCACTTGAGGCGCCCGTTTCTCGTTTCGGGGGCAATTGGGCGATTTAGTTGGACAATCCGCGACTGGAATGCGTCGGCCAGCGCCGAGCACCAAGCAGCCCATGCGAGCAGGCGCAACCGAGACGCGCTCAGGCCCAACACTGCGCTCAGGCCCGTGTCCTGCTGCCAAGGTCGCCGACAACGATGGCGTCGGCGTTGACGACGACTGGCGTGAAGCGGATGCGGGATCACGCTGCAGCTGCCGACCCGCAGCGCCCTGAAAAGAAGCGCAGGCGCAAGCAGGCGCAGAAGCAAAAGCACAAACACGCGCAGCATGCCCACGAGGACGCCGCCGCCATGCTCACCCCGCCAACCCACGCCGTGCTGTCCCAGTACTACGTGCGGCTGCAGACGCTGCGTGACCACATGCTGGAAAGCCTGCCGTCTTCGTCCAAGCTCAGGCGGAGGAAGATTGCGTCCCTGGGCAAGCTGGCCGACGACGGCGACGGGAGACAGCCCAGCGACCTGGAGATGCATGTTTCCCACCTTCTCGACTCTACCATCGTTGCATCTTCCCGTGACAGCAAGCCGGCCCGCGCCGACTCTCGCTGGAATCAGTGGCTCAACTTCTCTCAGAGGGGCGACGAGTCGTACGTGAGCCTGTCGGATGGCGCCACAAAGACGCTGTTCTGCCAGCACGAGATCGTCAACTTTGCGATTTGGTCTCTGTTCGAAAAAGACAAACGGAACGGCGGCTGGCCAAAGAATGTGCTCTGTGACGGTTTCAGGAGAGCCCCGGCTTGGGATGCTAACCCACCGCCGGCGGGCGCGTGTCTTCCCGCGGATGCTGTGCCCGGCCTGTTCTCCGTATACCCGAACCAGCACGTACGGATGCTGAAGGACTCGTTTTGGCCCGAGCTTCTTGGCCTCCTCGGGCAGGCCGGAGAGAAGATCATGATAGACCTCCTTCTGGACCACTCCGTTTTTGTCTCTGTTCACGCAGGCAGCGGCAACTACTACCAGTTGAGTGGTAAGGCACAGTCTCAATTGGCACAGTCTCTATGATAAAGAATGGCCCACTAACAGGGCTTGTCAGGGAAATCTCTCAACGACCTCGAGCCTCCTGCATCCAACAGCCTTCCACAGGCGAACTGCCAAAATGGCCTAGGCCCGGGCAGCTCATCCAGCACGGCAAAGTCCCCTGCTACGATAGCGTTTGTCAGAAGCCGCATGCTTTACTCGCGTGCTGCCCTGAACGCGCGTGGGGCTGTGCATTTCGGACTGAGACATATACGTACGTTCGAGGGAGTCGCTCTATTCCCACCTCAACCGTGCACGGCTCCTGCGTTGCTTCTTGTAATGTTTCTATTTTGCAACGTTCCGATGCTGAACTCTGCGCAGATGTTTTGAACCGATACCCCTTTGCCGCATCGAGTCGCCCCGCGAGCATGGCCGGTGAAGAGGATGAAATCAGCAAGGACAACTGGCGCAACACATTGCACTGCATGATGTATATGTTCCCAAGGCAGTTTTCCCTGCATAACGCCTTCACTTCCGTTGTCGACAGTGCCAAGACGACGCAGAAGTTGCAGGATTACACGCTCCGAGAGGACGAGATCCAACAAAAGTTTCGCCTCAGAGAATCGGAGCTGCCGCCGCTGCCCAAGAGGCTCAGGGGCTCAACCTACCAACTAGTACAAAAACTGCAAATACTACACAAACGCTGCTCGTACTCTGCGCTCTTGCAGCATTATTGCCCTGTGAGCCATCGGCCCATCCCTCCCGCGTACCAATGTGACTTCTTTTTCTTTTTCATTATTGCGTTTTCATTAACTGGAGTCTATTCTTCCTATCTAGGACCCACGGCTCCTGTCAACAGCCGCGTCAGAGGACCATGAGTCTGAGGGACATAACACGTCGACATTGGATCTGTCCAGCCCAGTGTCCCATGTGTCCGCATACTGCCAGGCCGTATTGTCCAAAATTATACCAAACGATTTCTGGGGCACCGGGAACGTCCAGATTGAAAACAAGAGGCGGTTTTTGAAGCATGTTGATCACTTTGTCAAGCTTCGACGGTTTGAGACGATGAACCTCCATGAACTCAAACAGGGCTTCAAGGTCAGTCTTACTGTGCATAGAACCAGTTGTTCCTCTGCCCGTCTAACTTGTGCGTTAGATAACAGAGATCGGCTGGTTGGCCCCGCCCGGCGCCGCAGGCCAAAAGACAAGCCGGACAGACATGGGAAAGCGGACCGAGATCTTTCTCGAGTTCCTCTACTACCTGTTTGACTCTCTCCTGATACCCCTCCTGCGTAGCAACTTCTACATAACCGAATCTAGTAGTCACCGCTCTAGGCTCTTCTACTTCCGACACGACGTCTGGCGCAGTATTGCTGAACCTGCGATGTCGACGCTCAAAGACAAAATGTTCGACGAGGTCAGGCCGGCCGAGGCACAGAGTATCCTCAGCTCACGCGACCTCGGCTGCAGCCAAGTGAGGCTGCTTCCCAAGGACTCTGGAATGCGTCCTATCACCAACCTGCGGCGCAGGACCCCACTCAAGGGAAGCAAGAAGGCCCTTGGCCCGAGTATTAATGCTGTCCTTGGTCCGGTCCACAGCATGCTAAAGCTTGAAAAGGTATGTCGGCTAGCGATGCAGTGCGCACCAACGCAGGTCAGCTGATTCTCTTCCCTCGACAGGAACTCCATCCTTCTCGCCTGGGCTCATCCATGCTGTCGGTAGGAGACTTGTATCTTCGCCTGAAGGTGTTCAAGGAGCGACTCGGCCCCCGTGACAAGCCATTCTTCTTCGCCAAGGTCGATGTCCAGGCAGCCTTTGACACAATCCCGCAAGCCGCCATTCTGAAGCTTATGGCCAATGTGCCATCGCTGCCCAGGTACAAGGTGGTCAAACACGTCGAGATCGAGGCCGAGCCCGTCATGGGCGGTGGTTCCACGACGAACCCGAGGCTGAGCAAGCGCTGGCGCTCCGCCGCCAGAGACGCGGCCGACAGCTCCAGCTTCATGGACATGCTCGTCGATCAGGTGGCGAGGAGCAAGACGGATACGATTTTTGTGGACAGCGTCGTGCAGAAGACGCACAGGACCCAGAACCTGATCCGCCTCCTGGTTGCGCACATTGAGCAGAACCTGGTCCGGATCGGTAAGAAGCACTACCGCCAAAAGGTCGGGATCCCGCAGGGCTCCATCCTGAGCTCGCTGCTGTGCAACTACTTCTACGCCGACCTCGAGTCCAAGCATCTGCGGTTCCTGCAGTCAGACGACTGCCTGCTCCTCCGGCTCATCGACGACTTCCTGCTCATCACCACCGACGTCGACAAGGCGTCCCGCTTCGTCGAGGTGATGCACGCCGGCGTGCCCGAGTACGGCGTCTCGGTGAACCCGGACAAGACGCTGGTCAACTTCAGCCTCGGGCGCGGCGGCGCGGCCGTGGCGCGGCCCGAGGCCCGCTCGCGCGGCGAGTTCCCCTACTGCGGCACGCTCATCAACTGCACCTCGCTCGGCGTCCGCAAGGACCGCGCCCGGCGGCCGCGCGACCCCGTCGTCGTGGCCAACTCGCTCACGGTCGACTTCTCGAGGCACCAGGGCCGCAACTTCCAGCGCAAGGTCGCGGCCGCCTTCCGGATCCAGTCGCACCTCATGTTCTTCGACACGGCCCACGGGTCGCACCGCGCCGCGCTGCGGAACCTCGCCGCCGCCATGGCCGAGACGGCCGCCAAGACGTGGGCCTACGTCCGCTGCCTGCCGCCCGCCAGGCGCCCGCGCCCGGCCATCGTGACCGCCGCCATCGACGGCGTGGCCGGCGCGGCGTACGCGCTGCTGACAAGCAGGTCGAGGAGGCAGCGGTTCCCCGACTATGTTTGTGATCTTGGGAGGGAGCAGGTCAGAGGGTGAGTGCAACAAAAAAAATATTATTTGGATCCAACGCTGGTGTTTTTTCTCCCTGCCATATACGCGTCTTTCCCGTTGCCGACCCAAAAAAAAAACTAACTCGACATGCAGTGTGACTTTGCATGCCTTCAAGCAGGTCCTGGGGAAACGGCAAAGCTGTTTCCGCGAAGTCCTGGCATGGCTGGACACTGAGATACAAGGCCTGCGGGTGAGGAGCGCAGCGCCAGGGCCGGAATGTCAATGAACGACAGTACAGATAGGACGCCCTACCGCTTTGTAATAGGAGAGAGGCATGTTATTGGATTGGACGCCTGGTTTTGGAAGACCACAGCCCAGTACCAGCTCAATGCATTCAAGTGAGCTGGCGAACCACAAAGCTCGGAGGGGAAGACATTGAAAAGCGTGTTGGACGAGACGGCATAGCCATAATAATGCACTCAAGAGCGGATTCATGTAACAACCGTCATGCTCGGCATGTGATCCAATATAGCACACCCCAGGCGGCTTTCCCGTTTTACGCAGTATTCAACGATTCTCACCTACTTCGTAGTGAATCAATTTGTTCAAAGCACACATGCTATGTACAGTAGTCTAACGTCTACGTCTCCTCTCTTCCCTTCTATCTTTGTCTATGTCCAGCCGATGTAGATAGGGGTATCTATAGCCAACGCCATTCAAGGGCCGCAAACGGACCAAGAAGAAAAAATATAAATACAACAAATAGTAACAGTCCGGAGAAATAAGAAGGATGAAGCAAGAAGCCAGGGGGGGCACTGAGCAAAGACATGAGACTCTACAAAATAGCCGGACCGCTGTCCCACCAATGCTTGCCGACATGCCAAGCCACAAAGGAGCACCCGGCCCAGCGAAAGGCCTCGTCGCCGGGCTCGCCGAGGCCCACGGCGCGGAGCGGCGAGTAGGGGACCGGCTCGAAGCGCCACAGGCCGGAGCGGCTCAGGTCGTCCTCGAAGGCCCAGCAGGTGGCGTACATCCAGGCC